CCAAATGTCCTTACAAAAGAAATTTTGGAAGATTTTATATTTGTTCTTTTAAAAGTCCGCTTCTTTGTCTCAAAAACTTTCAATTTGATTTGGGCCAATTGTAAATTATTCTGAAAGATATAAGAATCAGAACTAGGATACTTTCCCCAATTACATTTTCAGAGCTACATCAAAGTAAAGACAACACCAAATGCAAGTAGGAAAAAAAGAGACGATATTAGCCCAGTTTTTGAAAAACAACCTTGCTGAAGGGTATTCATTAAAATCTTGGTTGTATAATTAATGTGTGTGTGTGTTTCTATAGGATAAAACAAGAATGTTGGTTAGAAGCTGAGCTCCGTAGCCTTCTATACTGTCTTGAGCTCCATGATTCTATCATTTAGTTTTGCCGTGCACCATATATACTCATGTATAAGTTAATGGTCAGTTTTGGGGCCAAAATTATGAATATTTATTTGATCCACCAAGGGTCATTCCACAAAGAAGCGCACACACCCACCAATGGTAGCTCACTATCATTATTTTCCCACCCAGGCAGCTTTGAACTTAGTCCATTCCCCTATCCGATTGTTTACAGTCTGGCTACTTTTACAATAACTTACCACCATTGGTTGATGAGCGTTGTTTTAACTGAGTTTTAAGTTGTTGTTTTATATGCCTATATGTTTTACTTAATTGTATTTTAAATTGTGTTTCATTTTATATTCTGTTTTTAGGCACTTTGTGCCATGTGTAAGCCACTCTGAGTCCCTTCAGGGAAATGGTGGCACAATATAAGAATGAAGATGTTATTGTTGTTGCTGTTATTATTATTATCATCATTATTATTATTCAAAGAGATCACAAGTAATACCATGGCAGAGAGAGTAGTGGGGTTCAGTGATTTTTAAAAAATTCTTCCAGGAAGGAAGTATTTCCCTTTCATCTCCCCAGTTTATTCACTTTATTTTGATCTCACCTTTCTCCTGTTACAGGGATTTAAGGTGGCTAATGGAAAATATGACATAATACAATTATAAAAAGAGCACAATCAAAAGGAGAAAAAAGAGAAGGGAATGTTCTTATTAAGTTAAGGTACATTATCCATATAGACCCATGGATAAATTAACCCGGGGGGGGGGGGGGGGGGGGGAGGTTGGTTGCTTTTTTGACTAAAATTATTATTATTATTATTATTATTATTATGACACAAAAACACAGTATGACACAGCAAACGAGATCTATATGCTGTATTTCATATCACAAAATCACAAGTTGAACACTTCCCAAGCGTCTACGACTGTGTGATTATTATTATTTAAACAAAAGCACAGTATGTCACAGAAACGAGATCTATATGCTGGATTTCGTATCACAGAATCACAAGTCGAACACTTCCCAAGTGTCTAGGACTGTGTGATGTATTTTCGAATGATGCGCGCAGATCCAAGTAAGGTGGCCTTTTGCAGTTGACAGATCATGATTTTGTCGATGATGATGATGATAATTATATAACATTGATAGTTTGTCTACATTTGAGTTAACAATTCCACCATTCGGGATATGAGATTACTCCAGTATTGGAAGGATCCTCAAATTCTAAAAGTGTTGCAATTTTTCATTGTTCTCAAGTCTTGTATCGGAATATTGAAGATGGACTATGTTCACTGCATCTGGAAGTCTTTCTTGAGAAATACTCTGGATTCTTTCAAGACAAATGAACTATTTAAAAAGACTGGCAAAGTTTTTAATGCACCAGTGTAAAAAAAAAGGTGTCCTATGAACATTGCTATTCATATTCTTGAGACATGGTAAGCCCAAATAAATAAAGATTTGAAAAAAATTCTTCTGCCTGCAGATACACGCTGTATTCTCACCTAAGTACAAGCAACCCTCGGTTTATGAACAAAATAGGCTCTGTAGGTTTGTTGAATTTATAGGTATGTCAGAACAGGTACATTTTTTTGAGCTTTGAATAGCATAGTGAAGAATTAATACCCCTGTAAAGTTTGTCTTAATGTATGTGCCCCTGTTCAGAAGATTTTACTTCACTTTCTGTCCCTTTGATGAATGGTTTTTGAAAAAATTGGGTTTTCATGGAAACAAGGATTGGTGGTAAAGATTCCATAGAGATACCTTTTAGGCTTTCATGGCCAGAATCACTGGGAGTTTTTTTTTTTTTGGGCTGTATGGCCATGCTCCATTAGCATTCTCTCTTAAGGTTTTGCCTGCATCTGTGACTGGCATCTTCAGAGGACCTGTTTATAGTTAGGCATGTGGAGTGTATATATACCTGTGGAATGTCCAGGGTGGGAGAAAGAACCCTTGTCTGTTTAAAGAAATTATTAACGTTGTAATTCGTAAGCTTGAATTAGCATTTGAGTAGCCATGAAGTTTGCAAAGTCAATCAGCGAAGGTATCTGCATAGAGGTAGCCTGGCCTTTGTTGCCTAGATGCATCCTGTTTGGGAGGTGTTTGCTGGCCCTTGCTTGCTTCTTGTCTGGAGTTCTCCTATTTCTGGGATGTGTTCATTAATTACTGTCTTGATTCTGGTGTTTTCTTTAATACTGGTAAGTAGAATTTGTTCATTTTTATGATTTTCTGCTTTCTGTTGAAATTGTCCACATGCTTGTGGATGTGAATGGTTCTCTGTGTAGTCTGACATAATCCCTTCACCATCCTGTGGAAGGATGGCAAGCATGGCACCATTCCATGCTCACTGAGAAGAGAGTTCAAGAATCTGGGAGCATCCACCAAGAAGGTTTTCTCTTGTACAGGTAGTCCTCAAGTTGCAAACATCCAACTTACATACAATTCCTAATTACAAACAGGGGTGAGACAATAGGAAGTGAGAGGAAATCTACTCCTAGGAAGGGAAATTTACTCCTGGATAGAGTTGTTATTATCATGGGAAAAAAGGTGCCTCTATTGAAGCTTTATCATCAATCCGTGTTTCCACAACAAGCTCATTTTTTTTAAAATCCACTTATTATAGGGACAGAATGTGAGGTGAAATCTTCTGAACAGGGGCACAGACAGCAAAACAAACACCACAGGGGGGTTTCCCCATGCTATTTCATTTCTACTACCTAGGCAGCTACTGCTCCTCAAAAGTTGACATTGAATCCAAAACATAACACTGTCTGAGCTCTGTGATGATGGCTGAATTCAGAGCCATCATAGGGTTAACAAAATGTAGAGAATACAGGTTAACATAATGATGAACTGGAAAGAGAAACTGGCTACCTCAAAATAAGACATACCCATAAATTAGGCTGAAGCAGGATTTCTAAACACTTGTGCAATATAAGTCATACCCTGAAAATAAGACATAGTGATAAAAGCTGAGGCATAGAAGGAGACATAGAAGGTGAAATGGAAGAACTTTCCGCTGCAGAGACGGAGGCGAGTCCGGGCCTCCCCCCCCTCACTTTCTGCCTCCTCCTCCTCCTCCTCTTTTTTCTCCTTCTGTTCTTTCTTCCCTTCGGGCCAGGCCAAGCAAGGCTTCATCCCCAAGTGAGGGAGGGAGTGCATCACTGGCTCCAAAAGGGCCGTGGTTGGTGGTGCTGCTTCCCTTCGGCCCATCCTCGGGAAGTCTCCTCAGTGAAGTGAGGAGCAAGACACTCTGCTTTAGGTATTGTGTGTCCTCAGGGGGAAGTAGTAAAGCTGTAGCTGCCATTTTACTCAGCACTATATTTGAATAAATGCAGATTGTTGTACCATATTTAATAAAAATAAGACACTCCCTAAAAATATGCCATAGTGTGTCTTCTTGAGGAAAAATAAAGACAATGTCTTGTTTTCAGGGAAAGACGGTATTTGGCGGCAGTTACAATAAAAGGAATGGTAGAATGTAAACAAATGCCATTAAGACGGAATCCTATATACCAGTGGTTCCCAACCTGTGGTCCATGGACCACCAGTGGTCCACAAGAACTAAAATATGGTCCACGGCCTCACCATTACTACACCATTGCAATGAGAGCGACTGATGTCGCGAAACCTCTTACAGTGCTGAGGATTATTAAATATGGGCGAGCAGATGGCAACTACTGGATGGCATATGTTCTGTATCAGAAACTAGCGCTGATATGGTCTATCCAATGCAATTTTCTGAATCAGCACCAAAAATAACCAAACCAAATATAAAGTTGACCAAAAACTGATTTGTAACCCTTTTGGTACAAAAGGGTTACAAATCAGAGTGGTCCCTGGTCAAAGTGGTCCCTGGACAAGTGGTCGCTGGTCAAAAAAAGGTTGGGAACCAGTGCTATACACATTCATTTAGAAGGAAGTCTCACCTACCACAATTTCTGAGTAGAAATGCATAGGATTACATTGTAAATGTCTGTAACAGTTGCACATACATAGAGCTTATTATAAACATGTGCAAATCTGTATCGAGAATATATATTATCTGTGGTTTGTAATGATGGAATCTGCTTTTACCTGACTTTGCAACTCTTAAACATAAATTAATCACATTAGTAGGAAGGGAGCTTACCTCTTTTGCATTAAAAATAAAGATTGTGGCTACTGTGTAATGTCTATACAAGTTTCTAATAATGACAAATAGCAAGAAAGCACTAAACTACCTGGAAGCATTTATCTGAAATTAAGGAAATCCAAGTTTCACGAAGTGGTGGGATTTACAGTCAAGTCCTTTAATCATTGTTGTTTGTTTTTTTGCCCTTGTAGGGGGACAGCAATGTTACAGGGGAAGCATATCAACTTTGGCTTTTTACCTAATGATCATCACTAACACAATTCTGTTGCAACTTAGAGGAACTGCAGGAGGAGTGGTAGTCAAATCCCGAGTGGCTTAACTGTTCCTGCAGTAGATAACATGGCAGCCCTGCCTTGTAGTCTTTTCACAAGATACATTCATCCACTCTCTTTAATCCTTCTATCTCTTGTCAAAAGCCAATGACAATCATAACGAAGTCTTAACGTATTTCTTGGAATATGCTCAGTGTTGAGGTTTTTGGTTAATCTATTTATGAAAGGCAGAGTAGTCTCACGAGAACATGTCTTTTGCTTCTTGCAGCTCCAAATGACACATGGACAGAGTGCTTAAGAGGACACTATGACTCAAACTTTGAATCCATCTAAACATTGTAGTTTTATAACCACTGCTGCATCTAGATTGATGTAATTTCCTTAAATATAGCAATAAGTAATTTTAACAATTTTCTTCCCTTTGGAGGAAGGTTTTTGAAAACTGGTTTGTTTTTTTTACTACTATTCACAATTTGGGATTCTGCGCAAAATTTGCGCATTTTTGTTTTGAGGTGAAAAATATTCTTTTACAAAACACAGTTTTTCTGAACAAAATAAACATATGCTATTCTGCAGAATATTTTGTGTAGAAAATTGCTTTTTCTGTGCAGAACATATTTCTGTGCATATACATTAGTTTCTGTGCAAAAAACATTTCCTGCAAAGAAAATAGCATTTTTATATGCCAAAAAGCTATGAATGAATTTTGTACAGAGGAGGTCCCTGAACTATAAATAATCTTGTTGTATGAATTTCATGCAGCTGGAGTCAAGGTTTCCTGAGATCTATCTAAGGAGAGATGTAATGAGAGTTGTATATAACAAAATCTGTATGCTTAAGAGAGCTTCCTGCATACTATTCAAAACCCCAGCCAGGTAGAACTATGGGTACAAAATGCTCGGTTAGGAGGGCTGCTTAATGGAAATCTAGAATAATAAATAGTATTTTATTGCAGAAGCAAGTCGTTGGGACCGCAGAACTATGGCTAAAATCCTAAAAGGCACTTTGTAAAATGTAAACTTCAATGAACTCCAAGTGAACATGCCTGCGACTGAACTGCAACAAATATACTGCCCTGTGAGATTTTATAAGCAAGAGCCTATTTGCAGTAAGTCACAAAATATCATAATAACCTAATTAAATTTCAAAGCACCACAAACATAGATAACAATTTTGTTACCCAAATGGCAAGTTTTGGGTTTTTACCATTTCTATACAATGCATATGATGGAAAATTTTGGCTTTAACATTCTTTCAAACCGTTACTAACTGTTTTCATAGGCAAAGGTAAGAAGGTAGTAGTAAAACATGTAGTATTTTCAGAATTAGCGGGCATGTTTTTTTAAAAAAGAAAAAATAATGTTGCCATTTTGAGACATCTGTTTTAAGAATATGAACCATAGTTTTTAAAAGTCTCACATGTCAATGTAATTTCACACATCCACAAATAATATGCCCAAGCTTAATGGCTTAAATTAATAAATTATCAATTGGATAATGCACAACATTTTCTTATTACAAAGCTAATTCAGAGTCTCAGTGGGCATTAACAACCCTTACTGCCACATTAAATGCAGTAACAATTCTGAGGGGCTTAATTTGAAACAGATAAAGTAAGAAAAGGAAAAGAATGCCATTATGCCAAGTCTTATAATCAAAATACACAAGAGGTAGATCCAAATTATTTTTATCCACAAATATCAGGAATTGAAAAGCCACAAAACTGTGTTTATATTAATTCTGACGTATATAGGGATGGGTTTAATTTACTAAGTGAGGTGGAATATCATACGAAAAGCTAGGTGAAGTAAAATATTACATGAAAAAGAATATATTAGGAGTAGGCCTTCATTACTCAGCCAGTATATAAAATTTAGAGGTTAGTGCAAGCTTCCAATGATCTGCTATAACTTCTTATGATGGTTGTGGTGTGGAGGGTTGTGTTGTATTATGGTGTGTGTTGGGGAAGGCATTTAATTTCATTGTGCAACAGCACAATGACAATAAAGCTATTATATTCTATTACAATTATGTGTGTGCATGGCTAAAAAAGCTATTATCTTACTATCAAATCTGAAGAATTCTGAACCAATGACATCTAATGGTATACATAGTATACACAATGAGGAAATATTCTAATACATGCACCTTCAGAAAAAGGATTTTAACATACATGCACCCTTGAAATCTCAAAGTAGATGTGAGTAAAGCCTCTCTCTGAAATCCTGGATCTGTCCACCACCATGTTAATGATGAGCTACATGGATCAATAGTATGATCTGGGTTCAGGAAAATTCCCTACCACTTATCACAGTTGCCCAATACACATTTTACTCTCTCACTTGAACAACTTCAAACATGACAGCAGAGAAATCTCTAAATTTAATTTTAAGTAGAGTTTTGGGAAGCAGAATGAGCTATAAATGGATGTACAGGTTGATATACAACTCCTGCATATATTTCCAATTTCCCAAAGGAGGATTTTGCCACTTTTAATGCATACTTCAGGTACCCATAAACTGTAAATATTTTAATATTCTCTACAAGGGGCTCATCTTGGAAAGTGTTTACAAGTGATAGCAAGTACAAAATGAATCTATCTGATTATATGAGATCACATATCTATGTTCTTCTGTGTGAGCTTTTGATAACCCATATCATTGGTTGGTCCCAATTGCAGTAGCTTCTTATTTTATATATAACCTGGTATTCCCCTGCAATGGTACTCAAGGGAGCTTACAAAATGTCCCAACAATTTGCTTCAGATTTCAACTCAAAAGTGCTGAATTTGACATACAGAACCATAAATGGCTTGGGTTCATATCTGAAAAATGCCTCTTTTTATACAAGCCTACCTACAATCTGAAATTCTCATGCTAGCGACCTTATCAGATGGGGAGAAAATTGGTGGCATGATCCACTTCATTGCCCCTTTAAGAATGGAGCCCACCGACTCCCATTACACAATGTACTACTACTTCTGGCAGGGCTCTGTGCTTAAAGGGGTGGCAAAGTGGGAGCAACACGGCACGCTTCCTGTGCTGCCATGGAGTAATCTGAGGAAGCCGGATGGTTGACACTTCCCCTGTGGGATCGCCCTGTGGTTGGGCGATGCAGAGCATGGGGTGCCCGGTTCCCCATACCCGATGGTGGTCGCCGGATTTGTCATGATGCGTGGCAATTCTGTCAGCTAGTGTGAAGAGATCATAAGTTACTGAATACATAAAACCAAGCTTTCTCTGTAGCTGCACCACAGTTGTAGAAATCCAATATAAGGAAGTCGATTTTGCATGACCTCTATTAAACATCTAGCAAGATGAAAGTACCATATTATTTTTAGTGCTCTTTGGTGCTCTCAAGGGTTTTTTTTTAAAAGAACGATTTGGTTCCATTCTTAAACCTTTTTTAAAAAAGTATTGTACCCTGTGTTTGGATATTTTAAAAACACTGGGCTGAGGGAAAACAAATAGTAATCTTCACTTAATGTTGTATTTAGAAGAGGTGAACAGTATCGAGTGTACAGATAATTGCGTTCAATGTTCTCTTCTTCTACTATTTCACTCACTCACTCACTAACTACTATGATACTACCACGAGCATTAGCACTAGCATTTCCCAGGACTACATTTTGGATCTTCTAATTAGATCTTGGGCCAATTTGATATCCGCCACATCCATATTTGAAGATATCTGTAATAGTAATATAAACTCAGGAAATACTTTCCCCCCTTCTTAGAATCTTCATGAACTGCATCATTTATCTAACATGCAACATGCTTCAATAAGAAACAACAACATGAGGTATTTTAAAACAATGTTTTATTAGAAATGATTCAGACCAGAAAGAATGGGATTAGCTACTGATGAGAAGAGTGAGAAAAATCAGAAGCCATAGTTCGAAAACATGAACTGTAAAAAGAAAAAGGGGGGATATTCTGCTGATGTTTTACAAGGTTTAATGATCACCTGCAGTTAGCTATGTAACTTCATACCAATTTCAATTGCAAAAGTGTAGTTCTCTGTGGAAATATTCTTATCCAAATATTCTTATCTTTTCATAATCATCTTCCAAATTAGAAAAATGGAAGAGCTGAGGTACAGTATATATCACTGCGATAGGCTATAAGAATTTTTGAAATGACATTTATGCAAAAAAACCTGTATCCATTTTTAGGTAGTTATGGCAGGATCAAATTGTCTATTTCCAGCCATACAAGGAGTCATTTCCTTCAATTCCCCTTTTCAGCTGCACCTATAAACTGTTCCAAAAGAACCCAACTCCCCAAAATTTCTTTTTGGGGTCTAGATGAGTACACAAAGCTTATATCTGTGTAACCCAGGGGTGGAAATCACACAGTCCTTCAGATGTTGTACCACAACTCCAATCACTGCTCCTTATTAGCTATATTGGCTGAGGCTGGTGGGAACTGCAGTTCAGCATCTGAAAGACAGCATAATCCCTACTTAAGATCTAATGCAGTGGTTCTCAACCTGGGGTCCCCAGATGTTTTTGGCCTTCAACACCCAGAAATCCTAACAGCTGGTAAACTGATTGGGATTTCTGGAAGTTGTAGGCCAAAAACATCTGGGGACCCCAGGTTGAGAACCACTGATCTAATGGGACCTGCTGGATGTGGCACTTTCTCTGCCCCCAGAATTGCCAATTTAGATATTCAATGTAAAGTCCCTCCTATTTACAAAGAAAACTACCAGTGGAAGAAGATGAGCACCTCAACAAAGAGAGCACAAATAAGAGGTAAAGCAGCTATCCTTGATATACTGCAGAAATTGGACTGAACCACACATAGTGAATTTTAACTTCAAAAGCTAGATATGCTGTTTTTTAGGGGACTGGGATAAAGGTGTAAATCAATTTGAGGTCCTTTATTTTTCTAATTATTTCCTTTCTGAAGGTAGTTGATCAGGATTTACAGTTAATCACATTCTGAATAATATTAACCATGACAGTATGTTAATATCCAATATTTCATGTTAGCTTAAACTCAACATTGCAATAGTTGATGCCTAATGGCATGGCAAGACTTACAACAGGATTCTATGTTGTCCAAAGATCCACTCTGGAGTATTTCCTAGCCCCCTCCACCTCCACGATGATGACACAGCAGTAGTTCCATTAGCAGAATGACTAGACTGGATCCAACCCAAAGTGAAAATGTTGCAAGTATAATTATGTGAAACTTCCAAACATAGCTGCAGTTAGCATTGCCTTAACATTATATAGTAGCTGGTGTGTACTATAAACCTAGT